GAGGAGAGAGGACAGAGAGGAAGACAGAGGAGGAGAGGAGAGGCAGGAAGAGGTGGAGGAGGAGGCATGAGCACGAGATGGAGAAGAAAGGAGGGGGAAGGTGGCGAAGAAGGAGGGGGGAGGAGAGAGGGTGGATGAGGGGAGGAGGAGATGCCAGGTGGAGCGGAAGGAGGAGAGAGAGGAGGAAGGAGAGGAGGTGGGGAAGGAGCGAATAGAAGTAGGGCGCCTCTACCTCCTCTACCTCATCCACTTCCCTCCTCCTCCTCCTCCTCCTCCTTCCACCTTCTCCTCCTCTCCTCTTCCTCCACCACCTTCCTCCCCTCCTCCTCTTCCACTGCCCCGCTACCTTCTCTCGCTCCTCCTCCCTCCTCCTCCCCACCTTCTCCCCCTCCTCCTCACCACCTTCTCCCGGATTTTCTCCACCTCGCTCCTCCTTCAACCTCGCTCTCCTTCATCCTCCTTCCTCCTCCTCCTCCTCCTCCTCCCCTCCTCTCCTCCTCTCCTCCTCCACCTTCTCCCCCCTCGTCCTCCTTCTCCACCTTCTCCCGCCTCCTCCTCCTCCACCACGTTCTCCCCACATTCTCCTTCTCCTCCTCCTCCACCTCCTCTCCTCCTCCTCCTCCACCTCCTCTCCTCCTCTCCTCCTCCTCCACCACCTTCTCTTCACCTTCTCCCCCCTCCTCCTCCACCACCTTCTTCCCTCCTCCTCGACCTCCTGCCTGTATCACTGTTCAACAATGAATAATAAACACCAAGTGAGTAAATTGTCCGGGGGGTAATTGTCGGGGGGTAAATGTCCGGGGGTAATTGTCCGGGGGGTGATTGCCGGGGGGTAAATGTCGCCGGGAGTAAATGTCCGGGGGTAATTGTCCGGAGTAATTGTCCGGGGGGTATGTCCGGGGGTATTGTCCGTGGGTAAATGCCCGGGGTAAATGTCCGCGGGGGTAATTGGCCGGGGGTTAATTGTCCAGGGGGCAATTGTCCGGGGGGTGAATGGCATGGGGGGGTAATTGTCCGGGGTAATGTCTGGGGAGTAAATGTCAGGGGGTAATTGTCCGTGGGGTAATTGTGGGCGGGTAAATGTCCGGGGGGTAATTGTCCGGGAGGTAAATGTCCGGGGGGTAATTGTCCGGGGGGTAAATGTCCGGGGGGTATTGTCCGGGGGGTAAATGTCCGGGGGGTAATTGTTCCGGGGGGTAAATGTCCGGGGGTAATTGTCCGGGGGAGTAATTTTCCGGGGGTAAATTGTCCGGGGGTGATCCGGGGGTAAATTGTCCGGGGTAAATGTCCGGGGGGTAATTGTCCGGGGGCCGTGAATGGCATGGGGGTAAATGGCATGGGGGAATTGTCCGGGGGGTAATTGTCCGGGGGTAATTGTCCGGCGGGGTGATTGTCCGGGGGGTATTTGTCCTGACACCATATACACACACGCACACACACATATGTATAATGATCTCTTCCTCTTTGCATCTCACTCCAGATATCTATATCCATATATAACATAATAATATCCATAATAATCCATATATAACATGAATATCCATATATACTAATATATAACTAATATATATATAAATATATATACGATATACTATATACTATATATATAAATAATATACTAATCCATATATAACATGAATCCCATGGATGACCAGGATGATCCAACAGAGACATTCCCGTATAAAGCTGATAGGAATGTACATTGGTACAGTGGACTGACTGACATAATATGCTGCGCGGACGATGACTGAATGCCGTGAAATGTCGCGGCTTTCTTCATATATCATCATTAGCTCTTGATATCATTTTGGATTTTTCGCGTGAGAACAAAAAACAAGATAAATGTTGCAATGTCGCAATCTTTCCGTGACGCTGTCGCGGATCCTCACGCGAACCTGAAGCTCAAAATAGGCGTCTGCATAGACGCGCCAAGAGAGAAGAGAGAGAGAGAGAGAGGAGAGAGAGAGAGAAAGAGAGAGAGAGAGAGAGAGGTAATCATCACGAGCATCCTAATTTGCTGCTTGCGGGACAAACGATAGCTACACGTATACGCGTATCAATACGTGTGGCTATAAATAACATTAAACTTTAGTCATAATCACTGCTGCCCCGGTGTTCAGTTATGAAGGCAGTAATGTCGGCGGTACATGTCAGCAGTAACGATCCACTAAGCTATGATTCCGTACACAGCTATATACCCCCCGGGAACAGAGAATAAGTAGTTTAGTATTACTAGTCCTCGCCAGTCAGGACGTGTCAGGATGTGCCAGGACGTGTGTGTGCGTGTGTGCGCGCGCGCGCGCGTGCGTGTGCGTGAGAGGGAGAGTGCGTGTGCGCGTGTGTATGTGAGAGAAGAGAGAAGAGAAAGAGAGCGAGAGAGAGAGAGAGACAGAGAGAGAGAGAGAGATAGAGTGTGTGTGTTATGGTGTAGGTAGCTTCATATTGGGACCTATATAGAGATTTGAGATGGGATATTGAATATATATAGCTCTCTCAGTGAAGCTAGTTCACATGCAGTAACTATAATACTATGAAGATGTATACACGATGCTACAATAGGTATAATTGTATTTAAATTTGTAATACTGTACACAAATATGTACACGTTCATGTTAACAGGAGCAAATAAAGGTTGAGAACATTTGTGAAGTTAAATAGTGGTAAGATAAATAGTGTATAATTCTGTCGTTACTGCTGACGAACACACGCACACACAGGCTAACGCTCCATTAGGAGCGTTCCCAACTTTAATGTCATTAATATCGTGATATAAAAGAGATATAAAGGGGGGTGGATTGATATAAATTAGATATCAAGGGGGGTTTGATATGAAATAGATATCAAGGGGGAGTGCATCGATATCAATTAGATATCAAGGTGGGTTAGATATGAAATAGATATCAAGGGGGGTTATATAGGGTATATAGAGGGAGCAAGCAATTTTGAGACTGGGGTATGTTCGCTTCGTTTCGCTGGACTTCGTTGCTCGAGCAAGCGAAATACGGAGCGGGGCCATGTTCGCTTCGTTTCGCTGGACTTCGTTGCTCGAGCAAGCGAAATACGGAGCGAGGCCATGTTCGCTTCGTTTCGCTGGACTTCGTTGCTCGAGCAAGCGAAATACGGAGCGGGGCCATGTTCGCTTCGATTCGCTGGACCTTCCGTATTTCGGTTGCGCGAGCAACGAAGTCCAGCGAAACGAAGCGAACATGGCCCCGCTCTGTATTTCGCTTGCTCGAGCAACGAAGTGCAGCGAAGTCCAGCGAACGAAGCGAACATGGCCCGCTCTGTATTTCGCTTGCTCGAGCACACGAAGTGCAGCGAAGTCCAGCGAAACGAAACGAACATGGCTCAGCTCCGTATTTCGCTTGCTCGAGCAACGAAGTCCAGCGAAACGATGCGAACATGGCCCCGCTCCGTATTTCGCTGCTCGAGCAACGAAGTCCAGCGAAACGACAGCGGAACATGGCCTCGCTCCGTATTTTCGTTGCTCCGAGCAACGAAGTCCAGAAACGAAGCGAACATGGCCCCGCCTCTGTATTTCGCTTGCTCGAGCCAACGAAGTCCAGCGAAACGAAGCGAACATACCCAGTCTCAAAATTGCTTGCTCCCTCTATATACCCTATATAACCCCCCTTGATATATTTTCATATATAACCCCCCCTTGATATGTAATTGATATCGATGCACCCCCCCTTGATATCTATTTCATATCAAACCCCCCCTTGATCTCGATCCACCCCCCCTTTATATCTCTTTTATATCAGGACATTAATGACATTAAAGTTGGGAACGCTCCTAATGGAGCACCACCCCACAACAAAGATATGCCTAAATTATATTCAAATAATATTTTATTTACTTGTCTTATAAGATAAATTATAGGCATGGCTATAGGCCTACATATACAGGACAGTATATCTAATATATCGGACGCGCAGTCACAAATTTATGCGAACTGTACCTTACAAAGTGTAGTTGTATAAATGCAATTACATGTCAATAGTTTAAGATATTGGTCAGCAGGAGCACACACACACAAGCCATAAAAATGTAGGTCACCGCTGAAACAAAAATGTTTTTTCAATCGCTCCGTCAGACCATGTCCTCAGAAAATGTCTAAAATCTGCCCTGTGCCCATTGACCTTTGACCTGTGACCTCCAATTTCGGCACAGTGATGGCTTTTCCTACCATGATGCTATACACCGACTATCACGAGCCTAGGTCGAGCCGTTTGGATTTGTGCCGCAATTCTGCATTTCCTCCCTATACCTTAAGTTAAGGAGTGAATGTTCCCCCTTCTTTTACACCTCTTGACCTTTGACCTTTGACCCCAGCTTCACATCCCAACTCGTTTTCGGATTACCCCCCCACGTCCCGAATATCGTGACCGTACGTCGAGCGGTTTAAGATTTTGTGCCCAACTGTTGACGCCCGGACGGACGCGGACGGACGGACGGACGCACGGACGATCATGCGATTCTACAAGCTGCATCTGACTATGTCAGATGAGCTAAAAAAAAGGTAATATAACACGAAATGTACAGTCTTAATGTTTCTCTACTCTATTTCGCCTATAATCACTGTAAATGCCGGTCAAATGCCTCATCTGTAACACACACAGTACACACCGAACGCTCGCCCGCGCTGTGCTGCGTGCACAAACAACATGAATAAGAGAGTTTATTCTTATTCTTGTTCATGTTGTTTGTGCACAGCGCGGGCGTGCGGTACGTGTGCTTGCGTGTTGCAGATGAGCATTTGACTGGCATTTACAGGTGATTATAGGCGAAATAGAGTAGAGAAACATTAAGACTTTGGTACATTTCGTGTTTATCTACCATTAATTTTTTTTATTTAGACGTTTAAAGTGCCTGTGCACACGTCCTCCGCGTAAATGTATCCATTAATTTATATCTAATATTTTATATGATATGATAATAATCCTACCGCAACACAAATTCGTAATGCAAATTCGCACAATAGCAGTACGTTGATAATAATAATCATAATAATAGCAATTAATCATAATAATTAATAGCAATAGCAATAGCAATATCAGTAGTAATTATACCTTGATGAAGTCGAGAGCTAAACGTACCTCTTCGGTATTAATAGGTGGTATTATTGGCTCTCGATAAAGTACCAGCAGTGTTGGATATTCATCCAGCAATCGGTCTTTCCAGACATCAGTATCGCGCTCAGATATACGCGTACGCGTCCGGCAGATGTCACCAATCATGTGTGTAGCAGACGACAGCGTGCTGGCGGCAACACCCAAGCCCCGTGTATCATCGGCGTAGTCTCCCTGCCACCGAACGCATCCCGTTGCGCCGTGACGACTCGGGCACCCTAGAAGACCGCCGATTGTACCATTCGCGTCGTCTTCCCGCAACCGACGACGTCGTGTAGTTCACAGCCACGCGGGACTGCCCGAAGACCGTTGGTCGATTTATCGCGAAGCGGCATAAATTTACCCTCCAATTAATTTAGCGGAAATAAAAAACAGTCGCACGCTGCCCGCAAACAACAGCAGGCATCACGATGCGGGAACACCCAAACTCTGGAATGCCTTTACATCGATCCCTCGCTTCCCCCTTAACTAGTCGGGCAGATGTTTCGCGTAAAATACCCTCAAACACAGGTGGTTCTTCGCGCGCACGCGCATACCCTGAGCAACATCGAGTCTCGGTTGCATACAGGAGCCTAGGAGTGGCTCCACACACGAAAACACGAGAGCGCCGTTTTCCAGGGTGCGTACGCACATCGCTCGTAGGTTTATTTCCTCCTTCTGACCACCTGTCGCGGGCATTTAACGGGAGTCATCTAGCGGTAAATGATCGACTGGCACGATTCCACACACACGTGCGAACGTTTTGGGCGCGGGTCGAAGAGCTTATCTGCGCACGGAAAAGCTGGCGCGTATGTAGAGCAGCGACATCGATATAATCTGTCATTATTCACCTCAGATACAATGTGATAATCAGCACGCAAGTGCACGCATGCACGCGCACACGCACACATACGTGCACGCGCACACGAACACACACGCACGCGCACACGAACACACACGCACGCGCACACGAACACACACGCACGCGCACACGAACACACACGCGCACAACGAACACACGCGCGCACGCGCACATGAGCGCACACGCGCACGCGAGCACACACGCGCACACGAACACACACGCGCACAACGAACACACGCGCGCACGCGCACATGAGCGCACACGCGCACATGCGCACGCGAGCACACACGCGCACAACGCACGCGCTCGCACGCACACGCGCACACGAGCACACACGCGCACACGAGCACACACGCGCACGCGCACACGAACACACACGCGCACGCACACACGAACACACACGCGCACGCGCACACGAACACACACACGCACACGAACACACAGACACATCGCGCACGTACGTGAACGAGGGAGTGCCCGCAAGCTTACACACGCGAACGCACCAGGGGCGTGTACAGGATTTGTACCAGGGGGGGGGGGTCTAACCGTAACCCAAACTTACGAGCACGCGAAAGGGGGATCTGGGAAAATTTTTGAAATTAGACCCCCTTAGATGCGTTTTCTGCGCGA